TTAAAAAAATTGATATATCTATTACTTAATAATAAAAAATCATTATTTGACATTTATTTTCATTGTGGATTTGGTTTGAATTTTTTTTTTATATTCAAAACTTATTTTGTAGTGAATTTGTAAATTTGGTTTGAAATTTTCTTTTATATTTAAAACTTATTTTGTAGTAAATTTAATTTAAAATTGAGTTTTTTTATTATTATACTTAATGAACTTATCTTATATTATGTATTTTAATGTTTATTAATTTAGATTTTAAAAATTATATGTATTTAATAAAATTTATTATTTTAAATGGCTTAAATGATGATTTTCGAGTTGATTTTATGATGACTATTTCTTAAGAATAAAATGAAAGTAATATACAATAGTAAAACATAATAAATATGTTAAAAAACACTATTTTTTAGTTGATTGGTTGAATCAGTTAGGTGAATCGATTCAATCGATTCAACCAGATCAGGTGGCCAAACCGAATCAACTGTCGGCCGGCCCAAAAACACTGCTCATTTCTTACAAAGATAAAAATGAAAGGTGTTTTCGTACCCTTTGTCAAAAATCCAAACAAAAAGTTTTACATACACCAAATAACAGAAAGAGGAATGAGAAGAGGTCCGCGTCCTGCAAGAACAGTTGTCATCCCTATTAAAATCCTTCCTTATTTTAGGTCGAAGTATACGACAGAGATACATTTGACGTCCGTGTTTTGAAAATCAGATGGGTTGAATCCGTCTTTTAGGTTTTAGTGGTTTGTCTCAAAAAGATTTAAGCGTTTATGTTTGTTGTTTGCGATTTCAAAATCTCACGGACCTTTTGAAAACCTCAATCTCATTCCTTTTTCTTCAAATTGTATACTGCTTTTTTTTTTTTAGAAAAAAAAGGATCGGCTTGGCTAGTTGGGCAAATAAGGGCTGTTTGGTATAATTTGTTGGAGTTTTTGTTTTTTTATATACTGTTTATGAATGATAAATTTAAATTATTATTGGAGGAAAAATTTAAAAATTACTTTTAAAAAAATAATAAAAAAAAGTTTATAAAAAATTTAAATTTAAAATTTTTAATCTTTTACCATTTAAATATTTTTTTAATCTTAAAAAGAAATTAATTATATTAAGATTAGTAGTACGGAATGAATTTTGTCCTAAATTTATATCAATAATTTTATTTATTTTTTTCTCTAGGACTGCGAGCAATTTGTGTATTTTTTCTAAAAATAATTTTACAAACATCACCTTAGCTAAATACTTTTTTAATCTGAATCAGTTAATTTAATTTTTTAAAAATAAAATTTAATTAAGTAATTTTATATAATAAACAATAATTAAAATTTTTTATTCCTAATTTTTATTAAATATTTTTATTTAAATAAAAATATTTTGATTTATTCTTTATTTATTATATAAAATTAAGTGACAAAGTCCAAAAAAAAGGCAGAAAGAGAAATAGTTTTAAAAATAAAAATAGATTTTGGGTGGTATTGTAAGTTCACTTTTTTGAAATAAGACTAACTTATTCATTTATTTGCAAAATAAAAAAGGGTATAACGAATTTTTTCCTAAATTTATATCAATAAAAATATAATATTTTAATTATTACATTTTAAAAAATTATTATAGACATTATAAAAATTTTTAATACATTTATAATAAATTATATTATAACATTTTTATTTGTATAAAATTACAAATTATACCTTCACTAAATAATAAAAAAAATTTAATGGATGTGCCATTAATGAATTTTCCTAACAAAAAAAAAGTAAAGCTAAATCAATCAAAAGCTTGAAAACTTAAGATATATTTTACACATCTTCGGATTTAGGGCAAGAACATCTCATAAAAAAAATATTAATTACAAGATAATGTAAAGTCCTTTTATTAATGTCCTCTACATTGGACAACCCTGCAATTAATTGAGTTCTTAATATCTTCATATCACTCATCTCTAGCTGGCTCTCTATGTCTCCCTTACACTCTTTCCCTTCCTAACTCTTTACGTATTTGCCATTTTTACACTATATGAACATCATATTTTGTTTCGACATGTCTTCAGTCATATCATCTAATGTGATCTCTCTCCTGCAAATTTTGCAAATGTAAAACAACTATTTCAAAGAATAAAACGTACATATAGTGAAATATCAAACTAATACCATGCACATTTTGTTGTACTTTTCTAGGTGATGCTTGACCTTTGGTATATCTAAGTTGAAATATCAACAGAGAGGATGGTTGACAAATTTGAAGAATAAATTTTTTTTTCTTATAAATTTAAAATTTTGTTAAAGAAAAATTTAAAATTTGACTTTAAAAGTGATTTTTAAACAATTTTTTAAAAAATATACATTTAAATTTTTTCTAAACTTATTTAAGAATACTTTTAAAAATTAATTTTTAATTTTTAAAATTTTTTTAATTTATAAAAAAAATTACTTTTTTTAAATAAGTGCATTTTAAATTTTGCTAAACACTCTTATAGTAAAAAAAGAGAGTCTCTGTATTCTTTTCCAATAGTTTCCTTTTATTGTCCTTAATACAAAAACAAGGTTAAAAAATATTTTCACCGATTGTTTGAAACTTTAATAAGAAGCTGTATTTCAAAACATTCGTCAACGTGCTCAAAGTTTTAATATTTATATCCAAATTACTATACATTGTGTATTAAAAGTAATTGAATTTATTTTATATTAATGATCATGATTTATATAATAAAAAATAATTAATTTTTAATTTTTATTTATTTTAAAATTTTAAATTAAAATTTTAATATAAAATTTTAAATTTTTAACTATTAACACATCGATAAAGGCAAATGAATCTAGTTAAGGGGAATTATTACTAATTAGGCAAATAAATGAATTAAGCAAGTAAATTAATCTGAAAGCTTTAAAATGAAAAAATAGGTAAAAGCTGTTGTTGAACGTATAAACTGCGCAATTTGTTTTAAAGAAATTTTCCATTGTCAGGTCAGTACAATTCATATTGAAAAAGAACTAGTAAATGGATCTATAAGATCCCGGTGTTCTTAAATCCAATAGTTTGCTTTCAAATCTTAAAATGTGAATCTGTTGGTTGAATTTTCGACCTCCATTAATGTTTTAGAAAAAATCCTTTCTCCCTAAATTGTAAACCAATCAAAAATGCAATTATAAGACGGTAATTTATGTTGCTAGGCTCAAGAAAGTAGTTATTGGATTTCAAAAAGAAAAAAAAAAATATTTAGTGAAAGGTTATCATCCGCTTTCTATATCTTTTTCTGTAACTCACTATCTACAATTTTTTTTTTTTTAATGTATCTCTTTATGAATTTCAATCACCGTCTCCTTGTTAATATCTCCAAGTTTATATTCAACAAATATTTGTTTGCCACTCTAATCAGGAAAAATTTTCTGAATATACTGCAGTGGGATGGTCATAAATAGAGGCAATGCCAACTTAAACAAATCCAATTAGTTTGGAAGGTTTCTCTACAAATCCAACTAGTTTCGTAGGCTTCACAGGCTTCCCTTAGTACCTACCATACAGTGACCTAAACTTCCAATATGTATGCTTCTGAACTCTATTTGCAGGTTTGGGATATAAAATAGAATTGAGGAAATTAACTTGGCGAAGGAAAGCATATTTGCTTCAATACCAATAATAGATGTTAGGCCCGCGCGCTTTGAACAAAACTTTTTTCAACTTTCACCTTTGTAAAGTTGCGTTTTCCCATTTCTTGGCTAGCTTTTCAGTCTTTAGTGCCCAAAATAATTACCCACAAACCTCATACTGTATACCTTGCAATTAATCTAGCCAATATTTGGGATTGAGAAGAGGTGGTTACAGTTGGGTAAAGAGATGGGAAACTTCCTTTTGCAGTTTTGTCCATATGCATGTTATAATCACCCACTTCCACCCCACTCCTGCCCGGCCCCTCCCAACACACAAAACATATGCATTTTGAGGTCTATATACATAAACCCATCATCACTTTAGGGTCCATCATAATGCAAGCCATCCCATCCCTCTAACATTTCAATTTCAAATATTCCACCAAAAAAAAAAAAAAAATGAAGAAAAATGTTTCTGGGAGCAAATCGCCTCTCTTTTGGGTTCAATTGCAAAAGCAAAATCCATTGCCATCAAGAGCAGAACTATCGCAGCCAAGCTCGCCTCATCATGTTCTCATCTCTTACGAGGAATAAAAGGGCTCTGATGGGTTCCATCTCCAATAAGATCAACAATCTCCTAGATGGTCAGTATGACGAGCATGAACAAGAATGCAGAGGTGATCAAAGTAAGGCCATTGTTCTCTACAATGCCATGTTCAACGAGTCATACCCAAGGTTGAGTTATGTTGAGGAGAAGGGCGATACTGATGAGATTAATGTTATTAATGATAAGTGTCCAGATCTTAGGCATCCGCTGTTTAATGAAGAAATGGATTTGGAAGGAGGATCCGTCATCGAGCTTGTGAGGAACTCGAAAGAGGAAAGAGGAGAAGAGTTCAGACTGGAAGACGAGATCGACCATTTGGCAGACTTGTTCATAACCAGGTTCCACAAGCAGATGCGCATGCAGAAGCTCTTGTCCTTCAAGAGTTATCAAGAGATGCTGGAGAGAAGCATTTAGATCTCATCAATGGATCTCTTAATTACGTGAATAATATATATTGACAGTCAGTCTCTTCATTCTTTGTTTTCTCAATGGACCGCTGCTTCGTCATTCCTACTAATTAATTTCTCATTTAGTTTCTTTGCCCTTTAAGTTTTCCTTTTACGTCTTTGAAGGTGAGAATTTTTGCTATTACGCAGTAAAGTGGGCGAGCGTCTTCATTCCAAAAAAGTGTACTAGCTGTGGCACTACTGGAAAGCCCTCAATGTACTTCACGTTGGTAAAACCCATGTCGGTGTAACTGATATGTAACACTAGCATGTAATTATTTGCTCAGAATTGGTTCACAGTATTTGCATTAAGTTCTGGCTAAATCCAGGAGAATTACTGAAGAAATATTTTATTCTCAGTCTTGAACTTGTCACTCTCTTTTGATCTTCGGTTGTGAATAATAAGAGTTAATCTTTTTTTATTCTTTAATTAATCCTAACCCTATAAAATTATCATGAAATTACTTAAATAGTTGGCAAGTTTATCACTCTCTTCCCAAGCTTTAATTAGTGAAATTCTCCTCTATTTCAACTCTTGCAAGAGTGTCTCCTTCAAATTTGAAATGACATTACACAACAAATTCACATAACCAACTCTATATGCTTAAAAAAATGTAAAAATTTCAAATGAGCAGCAAAGTAAAATCTAAAATTCTTACTCTCCCCTGTTTCACGCTAATTGCCGTCTTATAAGAGAGTACAAAACTTAAAGAAAGGAATTAATTACTCTTGATTTTAGGGATATGAAACACTGTTTTTCCCTTTTAAAGTTCTTTTCTCTCATTATTTATAAATTAGTTGAAAGGAAGATGGGGAAAAAAATAATAAATGTAGCATCGTTTCCCAAAAAAACATCAATTAAAAAGAAACAAATTATTTTCTCTTAAAAGGTCAATTTTTTTTAAACATGTATAAATTTAAGGAGGGGATTTGAATTTAGTATCTAAAATTGGAGTATATTTTTTAAGGCTTATACTTAGTTGCACGTGCTTCTTAAAAGGTCAATTAAAATGAAACAAAGAGAGTATTTAATTTGCTAAGAAGTTAAATAGTTTGGTTGTCACTTTTTTTTTTTTTTTGGCAAAAGTAGGAAATTTTAAGTTTAAACTGTAGAATACATGAATTAAATGAATTAAAAAATTAGATAAAATTACTTTTTATTACGCATAACCCAAAATTTAAAAAGAAAAGAAGAAGGAGCATTTAGGTTCTCTCATTTAATGAAAAACTTTTAAATAAAAGAATAATATAAAATATATAGGTTGTTTTTTAAAAAATTGTTTTAAATGATTTATCTAAAAATTTACATAATTAATATTTTTAAAAATTGATAGTTAAATTGAAAATTTTATTTATGTAGATTATATATATCAATTTTTATATTGATTTAATACTTATAATTCTTTAAATAAAGCAATTCTATTTACTAACATATACAGTATTAAATTTCATATAATTAATGAAGTCATTGGGTCTATTAAATCAATATAAAATTTACATGTGTAATTTATATTAATATAAGTTTTAATCTAATAATTAATTTTTAAAAATATAAATCAATTTTTTTTTATTTTGATTACATAATGAGAGGCAATCATCTCATATTCCTTATCTCACCTCACTTGTATATCATGTGACTTGAATTCAAAACTTTTTATTTTCGATGGAAGAATATGGTCACTGAATTATTTAAATTATTAACAAAATAGATTTTTAAACATATCTTAAAAAAAATATTGCATAACACTTGTACCTTTGAATAATATATTTTCACAAATAGAAAATCGATTTTTTTTTTTTTTATAGAGAAAAACGCTTTCCATTTTTTGTTCAACCAAAAGACACAATATCACTTCCACAAAAAAAAAAAAAAAAGTGTGTCACACCAATTGCAAGTTGTCTGAAATGTACTTTTACTTGCTTTCTTCACCCATCACATCTTCTCCAGTTCTACTTCTCTACTCCCACCGGTTTCTTCGTCTCTATGTTTCAACGGAACTCAGGATGTACGAACTGCGAACGAAAAGAAAATGGAAAGTAGTGTTTTCGGGTCCGGCCCGACCTGATTGATTGAACTGGTTCAATTGGACCCAAGCTTAAAAACGGGCTGATTGCATACCTCAGCCCATTTTGTCAAATGACCCGTTATGACCTGCTAAAACTTGCCCCACCTACTAGGCCTGCTGGATTCATGTAGCTTGCTCCAACCGATTGGGCTGAAATCTATCCATCTCTTATTCTCTTTTAACTTTTTTTTTTTATAATTTTTAATGTATTATACCTATTTTATCCCATCTTTTTTAATGTTATTATAATAAAAACCATCACTTAAATTAGAAATTACAAAATCATATGAAAACCCTAAGAATTTCGATAAACAAAGGAAACTCTTTGGAAAACCCAGAAGGCCAGAATAGAGCAACCAGAGACCATAGATGAGCTTCAAATCTCAGGTCTCAGATGCTCAGTCACCTCCATCGACAACTTCACAGCTCATCGTCTAGGCCTTCACCGTTCACCTTCAGCTCCTTCCTCCATTGGACAAAAGCAGCAAAGCAAAACACCTTCGTCGGCGGCTCCACAGCTCACTATCCAACCCTTCATCACTCACCTTTGGCTCCTTCCTCCACTAGACAGAAGTAGCAAAGTAAAATAGAACAAAATCAATAGATCGTCCCCATCTACCTCACTCCTTTGTCGATCACCTCCTTCTCCTTCCTCCATCAAACAGAAGCAACAAAGAAAAATAGAAATTATAGAACAGATCGTCCCTCCGGAAGCACCAACATAACAGATTTTGCATCTGCCTCATTTCCTCCACTGCTTCCCCTTCTTCTCCTGCTTACATTTTAAAAATTATATGTATTTAATTAAATTTATTATTTTAAATTACTTAAATGATTTTTTTCAAGTTAATTTTATGATAACTATTTCTTAAGAATGGAGTGAAAATAATGTCCAAAAATAAAATCTAATAAAAATGTAAAAAAAAAAGTGTTGTTTATCTTAAAAAAATGTAAAAATGTAAAATAATGTAAATTGACTTAACCAATTAAACTGGATCTGATGATCGAAACGAGTTAACCACTGGGCCGGGCCCAATAACATTGATGGAAAGGGGGTTTTGATAAGTTAGAAAAACAAAAGAAAATGGGAAAGGAGTTTTGACTTGTGAGCAGTTTCGGTTTTAGTAATTCGTTGCAGGATGAGATTGTAGAAGAGAAAGAGCCAATGGTATGGTGGACAGCAATTTCAAGTTAGTCTTTTGGGCTGTAAAATGGTCTGCTAGATTAATTAAGCCCATAATAATTAATTAAAATTCGAGCCAAACTAATTGTTAGACGTTTAAGTTACGACAACTTACTAATCGTGCAAGTAAAGGTGAGAGAGATGACTTGTAAGCAAGGCTAGCGCCAAAAATTCCCACCAAAATAGTGGAGTGCTTATCGTGCTTTATAATCTTGTTGGGGGATTACCATTACTCTCTCTGATACCCCAGAGAAATCAAAGAATAGCAAGAAAATGGCTGGAGATGATTCCAATAATGCACCGTCGGCACCAGAATGGCCGACTTCGGTAGGATTCAACAGTGATCAATTGCCCAATAATAGCCAAGCGTCTGACGATGAAGAGGCTGCCTTCGACCCCCATATCATTCCAAATGAACCGGAGGAACTTGAAGTCGAGGAAGAGAGCGAAGGAGAGGATATCTTCAACAAAAATTTCATGGAGGATTATCAGAGGGCAAAAGAGCATGATTGCTACGAATCTCTTGGATTAGACGATTCGCTCGAGGATGAGAGGGATTTGGATCAGATCACTCAAGACTGTAAAGCTGCCGAGTTAGAGCTTGATGCTCACGATGCTTGCTTCTTTGGTCATGTAATTGCACCAAACCAAAAGTCCTTCTTCAGTTCGTGTCTTCACTTCAGATAAACCTGCAAAGCCCCGAGGTGAATCTTCGGAGTAGACACTCCAATACTTAAGTCAACAATAATTGGATCTACCTTTAGAATAGTGGAAAAGAAGCTTTAGGTCGGTTTCAATTACCTTTTTGAGGTAGCCCCTAGGGGGTATTTATAGGCCTTAATGAGGTGTCCACGTGGCTTGCTTAACGAGATAATTGAAGTCTGACGTGTCCTTCAGGCAATGATCTCAAGATCGAGAAATCAGGTGTGGACATATTCACCGTACCTGTCATGTAGCTATTTGACCAGAAAGTGCTGGATTTAACCTTCACTTCAGTTATTAACGAAATGTAGCAATACGTCCGAGGTTAAGAACCTCGGACCTATCTTTACACTATTCCTCCCTCGAAGTCATTCACTTGTGCTTGATGTAGTTAGAAGTGGTAAGGGAAGTGTATACTTTATTGGGAGTACATGATAAAATGCGATGAAATATCACAAGACCAAGTAATGAGGGGAGTATGCTATAGAGCTATGTTATGCTATGGAGCTACGTTAGCAAGTAATGAGGGGAATATGCTGGATTCGAAGTAAAATGAGTGACTTAGGGTCACTATGGCCGAAGTCGAAGTAAAATAGGTGACTCGAGGTCACTATGGCCGGAGCCGAGGTAAAATGTGTGACTCGAGGTCACTAGAGATTAAATACTTGTAATAAAAAGATATTTATGTGAATGTGAACAAAACTATTTGGGTTCGGCTTAATTAGACCCATCTGAAAAGCCTGACACAAAGTTAGTACGTGATACGACAACTGTCCTTTGAAAGACGTGTACAATAAATATGGGCTGTAAAAAGTAACTACTATAGTTGGACAGACTCAATTGAAAACGAATCGTCGAATTCGAGAGGGTTCCATTAGGGATTAACCGTCGAATTCGAAACAGTGTAATTGTGACTGTCAAATAAAATTAATTACAACCGTTGAGGCATATATTTGATTTGGTATATATAACTATACTTTTATAGAAAGGATTTTACTTTTGCCGTATTTGCTATTGAAGTACTGTCAAAATTTCCACTGTGCTTGTGTGACTGATTCCTACGTTAGCTTTTGACTTCAACACTTGTTCTACCCTACCGAAGTTAGGTAACTCATGAACTTTAGTGATTCTGATACTAGTGATGAGTTTTATTCTCTTTCACCCTTTCTGATTTAGACTTAAGTCCTCTTAAAAAGGTTAGGGTTTGAAGTGAGAGTGACATTGAATGTGAGTTAGAATTTTTTGAAGATCCTAACTATATACCCCTTTCTATCCCGTGGAGTGAAAGTTATGAAACTGAAGAAATGTCGTTAGAGGAGACGTTGAGTGTTAGAGGAAGTGAGGAGTTGAGAGCCTTGGAGCATGGTGACGTGGGTGTGGTGAGTGAGTCAACTAGGTCAAAAAGGACAGAGGAAAATGTGGGGGGGAGTGAGGTGGCTGAGGTTAAGGGAGAGGGGGTTTTCGAAAATATATTAGAAGTGGGAGATAGGATTGATAGGTGTTATGATATTGGGGCAGACATTGTGTTTGAGGTAAGGGGTTATGAGACTGAACTCGAGACTAGGGATAGCCTCAGTTACTTAGTAGAGACATATGAGATTCCTTCCTAAGTTCTAATTAGGCCTGTTGGAGTGGAGGAGAAGGCATGCTCTGCACCCCAAGATCACTGGCTGCCCATGTATGCCCATTATTTGGCAGTAGGGCTTAAGTTTCCCATTCCAGAATTGCTGGTTTGGTTATTGTTAAATTATAGTATAGGTTTAATCCAATTAGTTCCCAATGTAGTTAGGGTAATTATTGGGTTTTTAGTTTATTGTCGAGCTCAAGGTGTTAGAGTCTCCACTGTAAATATGTTTAAGCATTTCTTTGTGCTTAAGGTTGGGAGTAGAAAGGAAAAGGGGTGGTATTATTTTACACCTTGGGCATCCAACAAAGAAAAGAGGAATTTATTTAGTGCAGGGTTTTCATCCATTAAAGGATGGAAGGAAAAATTATTCTTTGTTGATGACACCAAGTGGGTTGGGAGGGAAGCCGAAGTGGAGTTTTTGTCTGCCTGGAAGGCTAAGAAAGCCAACCAAAATAAGTATAGTTTAAATAGTGATGAGAATGAAGAGGTTGGGAAGTTGGTGAGAGAGGGAGGTGACACTTTGAATATCATGTACCTCACCAGCTCGGATGTCATAGAGGTTGTTGAGCTCTATGGGTCAAGCTCGTTGAGTGAAGGTGTGTTTGTGTTTTGTATTGTGTTGTTTGGTATTAAATTTCGATTTATGTTTTTAACATTTTTGCTATATTGCAGCTGAGATGGATAAGTTTTTGGCTACTGTTAGTGGGATGGCCATTCCGAAGAAGCCAAGGAAGAAGTCAAAGATTTCGGAGAAGGTGGTGAGTGAGGGAGGAGCTAAGAAGGAGTTGGTTTCTAGCACCTCAGTTGGAGCTCTAGATGTTCAAGCAAGGCCAAAGCTTAAAAGGAAAGGAAGTGAAGACTTAGAGCCACCGAAGAATAAGAAGAAGAAGATGGGAGAACAAGAGGTTAGGGGGGATGAGGTGGTTAAGTTCGTACCTCGGCCTCCTCCTATTGAGCTCGATCCTGAACTCAGGGAGACTGAGGTTAGAGCTCTTTGTAAGGGGAAGGAACTCGTCCCCCTTCCTTCTCTACAAAGTAGCCTTTTTGATGCTAAAAACACGACGGCTGCTTGGAGATTCATCAATTCAACTTTTCCCGAGGTGGATCGACGTTGGGCTACGGAAGAGGTGTTAACTCATGCGGGAACTACAATTGTTAAACACACCCTGGAGGTATGTTAAGTTGTTTATTGTTGTTTGTTGGCTCTCTCTCTCTCTCTCTCTCTCTCTCTCTCTTTTTTTTTTTTTTAACTTTTGCTTGAATTGCAGAGTGCAAGCTAGGTTAACACTTTGGCTCAAGAGTTTATTGAGAGTGTGAAAGAGCATAGCAGCTTGCAGAAGCAGTATGATAAACTGCAGAAAGAGAAGGGGGAGATGTAGAAACAGTTGGATGAGGTGGTTCCGGCAGTGACTAGTCTTCAGGATGAGAGGGATTCGCTAAAGACAACTTTTTCATTTGAAGAACGAAAGAGAATAATTTGCAAGAGAAAAATTGAGGCGCAAGAGAAAGAAATAAAGGAAATAAAAAAGTCTGCTACTGAGCTAAAAACGAACATGAAGTTGTTGGTCCACAATGCGATGGAAAGGCACATTGTTGAGTTTCTCAACTCCAACACATTTGAAAATATTGTCAACCTATACCAGTTGCCTACTACGATCCTTGCCTTCATCGATTGCAGAAAAAAGGTGAAATGTCAATATCCCAAAGTGGATGTGACGAAGATCACTTTTGGCGAACAAGAGGAAGAAGTGGAGGAAGACGATGAAAATATGTTGACTGACTTCAAACCTCAGATTAAGCTGAGATGGGATCATGATGAAGAAGGTCGCACCGTTTTTCCTCCCAACTTTGACTTCGAGTTCGTCGTAGTTGAGGAAGGAGAAGTAGAGGTTGTGGGCATAGAGGTCGAAGAGAGCCAGCCACCTCCTATAGTGGAAATCCATCCAGTTCCCTCAGAAGAAGAGTGGCTAGCCTTCTAGAAGTGGAGTAGTCACCTCTTCTTGTAGAGCAACAACCACTTCCCCCAACAAAGTAGCTAGGGTTCCCATTTTTTGATTTGTGTTTTGTGTTAAAATTGGAACAATTTGTTGATTTTATTTTAAACATTATTGTAATATTTTTTAATCAATTTATGGATTTGTTTGAAGTTAGTTTTAACATTTGTTTTGGGTTGCATTAACGTAAGAACTAAGATAAAGGAAATCACTTTGAATGTGAAGTGAAATTCATTAATAGAATTGAAATCCAAGAATGAAGTGAATTACAAATTGATCTTGGAAGAATGTTCAAATGAATGAAATTAATCTTAGAAAGAGGAAGTAATAGTCATAAAGGGAAATGAGACAAAGTTCACTGAAAGAAGTGGATTAAAGGTAAAATTTCTTCAAGTTGTTGACATTCCAGAATCTAGGAACTCTTTTCCCTTCAACGTCTTGAAGGATATAGGCACCAGGATGTGGCACTTCGGCCATTGTGTAAGGGCCTTCCTAGTTCGGTGCTAGTATGCCAAAACGCATTTCAAACCCAATTAGGCCAATTTTTCTCAGAACTAAATAGCCAACTTTGAATGTTCAAGGACGAACTCGTTTGTTGTAGATGTTGACTAATTTCTACTTGTACACCAAAGTTCAAAGTCGTGCTTCCTTTCTAACTTCGTCAAGTAGGTCAAGGTTCTCCCAAAGTAGTTGTCCATTTCGTCCTTCATAGAAATGGGTAACCCTGAAGCTTGGGACTCATATTTCAATAGGAATGACTGCTTCAGTACCAAAGGCAAGGTGGTAGGGTGTTTCACTTATTTCATTAAGTTATAGTTTTTAGAGTAAGTTTTATATGTTATGCATATTTGATCTAGGGTAAAGCCGTAGAAGAAGAAATAAAGTAGTATGAAAGTAACTTAGGTTGGAAATAGTACATGTGGTAGTTTGGCTCGTAGTTTTATATGCCCAGAGGACGTTGTTGAGCTCGTCTGCCCACCTGGCCTTGTGATGCTCCAACCTCAGCTTTATTCCCTCAAGGATAGCTTTGTTGATAGATTCCACCATACCATTGGACTTCGGATGGTATACCAAGGTAAACTGTAATTTGATCCCGTAACTGAAGTAGAAATCTCTAAATGAAGAATAGTTAAACTAAATGCCATTATCAACCACAATTTGATTCGGGATCCCATATCTGTAGATGATTGAGCTGAAAACAAAGTCTTCAACCTTTTTGGAGCTAAAGCTAGATAATGGTCGAGTTTCAACCCATTTCGTAAAATAATCAACACCAACGACCAGATGGGTTACACCTTCAACCCCTTTTATAAATTGGCCTAAAAGATCAAGTCCCCATTGAGCCAATGGCCACGGTGCCACCAAGTTAGTGAGCTCTTTTGTTGGTTGGTGAGTTAAGTGTGCAAAGAATTTGCACTTTAGGCACCTCTGTACAAAGTGAATGGCATCCTTATACATATTCGGCCAGTAATATCCTTGTCTAAGGACTTTATGAGCCAGGGTTCTAGCACCAACATGACTTCCACATACGCCTTCATGTACCTCCCGAAGTGTGTATTCAGCTTCAGAAAGGTTCAAGCATCGGAGGAGGAGTGAGAAAGATCTCTTATAGAGGACTCCATCAACAAGTGTGTACCGAGACGCTTTCTTCCTCAACCTCATCCCTTCTTACTTATCTCTAGGCATTAATCAGTCTTGTAAGAAAGAGACAATTGGGTCTGTCCAGCTCAACGTGTTTGGATTTGTGCTAATCTCCATCATCTTTGGCTTTTGAAAGCTAGGCTCATCTAGAACTTCAACGAAAACTGATCTAGAGCTTTGGGAGCTATCGGAGGCGAACTTAGAAAGTGAATTTGCCTATTCATTTTCAGCTCGGGGTATTTTGCTCAAAAAATTTTTTTGGAATTTGCACCTTAGCTCGGTCACTAGGGCTACATACTTCATCATGACAGAATCAACCACATCACAAACTAAATTAACTTGATTGACTACAAGTTGTGAGTTAGTATATATTTGTATTGTCGGGATTTTCAGCTTCCGTGCCAGTTGCAAGCCAAGTAACCAAGTTTCATATTCAGCCATGTTATTAGTTGCATCGAAATTGCACTTCAAAGCATGCTCACTTCGATATCCATTTGGGCCAACTAGGATTGCACCAGCTTCAAAGCTTTTGTTACTTGATGCTCCATCAACATATAGAATCCAGCTATTCGGCTCGGGGTTAGAATTTGAGTGATCCGAGGTGCATTCCACAATAAAATCTGCTAGTGCTTGAGCTCGAATTGCTAACCTCTGTTGAAATGTGATCTCGAATTCCCCAAGTTCCACAGCCAATTTGATCAATCTTCTTGAGCATTCTAGCTTTTGTAAAATATGTCGAAGATGTTGGTCTGTGAGGATTATAATCGGGTGTGACTGGAAATATGGCCTCAACTTCCTAGTCAAAGTGACAACTGCTAATGCTGCTTTCTCAACAATGGAATACCTTACCTTTGCTCCATGTAATACACTGCTGGTATAATAAACTGGTTTTTGCTGCTTCCCTTCTTCTCGTACTAGTACAGAACCAATTGCTTCGTTTGACATGCCGAGGTACAAATAAAGGATCTTTCCATCAACAACTTTTGTCAACAAAAAGGGTAAGCTAAGATAAGACTTCAGCTCATCGAATACAGCTTGGCATTCTGAATTCCATTTAAACTTCTTATGCTTGCCAGATTCATCTTTCTAAGCTGTTGATCTCATGATCTTGAAGAATGGCAAGCATTTATCTGCTAACTTCAATATGAACCTGTGAAAAGCTGCCACTCTCCCTGTTAATCTCTGTACATCCTTTATTGACCTCGGCGGTTCCATCTCAGCTATTGCTTTGATCTTTTCTGGGTTAACCTCAATCCCCTTCTTGGATACCATGAAGCCTAGAAATTTTCTAGACTCCAAACCAAAGATGCATTTTGTTAGGTTCAATTGCATTCTGTTCTTTCTCAGATTGTTGAATGTCTCATCGAGATCAGCTAAATGATCTTTGGCTTTCAGGCTCTTCACCAGGATGTTATCAACATAAACTTCCAAATTCCTGCCTATTTGAGCTCGGAATATGATGGTCACCATCTTCTAGTAAGTGGCACCTACATTCTTTAAGCCAAAGGGCATCATGACATAACAATAGATTTCATCACATGTATAGAATGAGGTATTCTCTTCATCCTCAGGAGCTATCGGGACTTGGTGATAACCAGAATATGCATCTAAGAGACTTAATCTCTCATTTCCAAAAGCTGCCTCAACCACTTTGTCAATGTTCGGCATCGGATAACAATCTTTAGGACTGATACCAAGATGATGAGAACCCCAAAGAGAACAATGAGACCCACAGCATGACAAGGGATTTCTAAACTCTAGGAAAGCTAAATCAGGTTTATAATAGGACCTTGACCTATTGTTTATGTCGCAACAAGAACCAAAGGTACAAACCTTGACCCTTTGTCTACGACACAACCAAAACTAGAACTTGCTTATTTACCTTGATTTCTCCACAATCGTTTAACCATTGCAGCTTATATGGCCTTGGATGCTTCATCATAGGTAAATTAAGCTTTTCAACTAAAACAGTGCTAGCTACAATAGTACAACTACCACCATTAATAATCACACTACATACCTTGTTTTTAACATGGCACCTCGTGTGAAATATGTTTTCATGTTGTACTTCATCATCTTCTTTGGCTTGCACATTCAAAGCTCACCTGGTGACAAGCAGTTCTCCATCAACAGCATATTCCACACCATCATTAGCATCTTCTAATGGTGGCATAGATTCATCATCAAATTCACCCTCAGTTTCAATTTCTCCATCTTCTCTCAAGATCATCGTGTGCTTATTAACACATTGCGATGCAACATGCCCCCTTCCCAAGCATTGAAAACACTTGATGTCTTGGTTTCTACCTTGTGTATTATCTGTTTTACTCTTCTCATTGCTGCCAACTTCTTTTGACTTAGATGTTGTAGTTTTAGGTTTAAAAGCAGAATTTTTTTCCTTTTTGCTCCAATTCAATTACCAAGAAGATGAGGAACCTAAAATTTGCCCAATTTTGTTGGTGGCTCTTTTACGCTTGAGTTGCCATTCTACTTTCTTTGCCATATGCACCATATCTTCTAATTCCACATAATGCTGCAGCTCTACCACATTAGCTATATCATGATTTAAGCCATGTAGAAACCGTGCCATAGTTGCTTCTCTGTCTTCTTCCACATTTGCTTTAACCATTACGATTTTTATCTCTTTGTGATAATCCTCAACGCTTTTGGACCCTTGAGTAAAGCCCTGCAATCACTAATAGAGATCATGGTAGTAGTGACTAGGAACAAATCATTTTCTCATCATAGCTTTCATCTTTTCCCAAGTGTCAACAGAACGTTCTCGATTTCTACGTCGACTAAGCATAAGCTGATCCCACCACACCACAACGTAATCATTAAATTCCACCACTCATAGTTTCACCTTTTTCTCCTCAGACTAGTTATGGCAATCAAACACCAATTCCACCTTATTTTCCCACTCCAAATACACATCTGGATCATTTTTGCCTTGAAACAAAGGAATCTTCATCTTGATGCTAGCTAAGTCACAATCTTGCCAATGTCTCCACCTCATCAGATTTTGCTCTCTTTGGCCCCCTCTACCTCTCATAATTCAATCCATGCTAAAATTTGAGTTTTGGGCATCATTGTTGAATGCATCTTCATAATCGTCATCGAAATCGTCATTAGCATCATTCCTACGCAAATTCGGACTTCCATTTTGTGTTTGGTATAACTTGGCTATCGCTGCATCTTACTTCTCCATTTTGTCTTTAATCTCACCAAACATGATATTCAGCCTCTGAAATTGTTGTTGCATTGCTTAGAGTATGAAGGATTCATCCACATGGTGGCTTCTAATGGTTGGTTTGTCATCACCGCTTGACATGATTGAAACCTACAACGAATGTTAGAAACAGAAGAATAAAAGGACCTCACAACACTCCCTTACATGTTTCACTCATCTTTCTCACTAAATGGCACTCAACGCTCGTGTTTTGCACATTGTAGAACTTGGCTTTTCTCTCAAGTGTTGCTCACGCCTTTTGCCTTTTTCCCTCACTCAACTTTCCTCTTTCAGTTTGTTATTGAACTAAACAAGCTCAATCAAAGTTATTTTGTAGCAAACTCCAACAAATCTGCAACAAGAGTTAAAAGAAAAACACAAAGGAACGAACAAGAAAAACAATAAAAGAACCAAACCCAAACAAATTAAAACAAACAGATCAGTTCAAGCACTTCCTAGTAGGAATTGACTTGACTATTCCTTAATGCAGTAGGATTCCTAACTTAGGAAGGAATAAACAAAGTTTGCAATCTCCTTGTTTGAATAGAACTCAAAGAGAATTTCCAACTCCTTATTGGAGTAGGATTCCTTCTTCTTTAAGGATTTGGCCACAATTTCCTCTCTATATAAGGAATTTCAACCACAAAATTGTGTTGCTTGTTTCTCTCTCTCCTTTTTTTTTTCGTTTTTTTTTTGTCTTTTTTTTTTGTGACCCTCTTCCTTTTTTTTTTGTACGACTTATTTTTTTTTTCTCTTTTTTTTTTTTATTTTCATGCTTTTTCTCTCTCTTTTTTCTTTTTGAAGTAGTAACACAAATTCAGAAGAGCAAAATAAGAAAGAGAAGAATGACATTGAATTTTTTTTTGTTTTGTTTTTATGATAAAAACTAAAAATTAAAGATACACAAACCTGATTTAGGATCTGATGCTCTGATACCAAGATGATGAGAACCCCAAAGAGAATAATGAGACCCACAGCACGATAAAGGATTTCTAAACTCCAAGAAAGCTAAATCAAGTTTATAATAGGATCTTGACCCATTGTTTTTATCGCAACAAGAACCATAGGTACAAACTTTGACCCTTTGTCTATGATGCAACAAGAACTAGAGGAATAAAGTTGGTTGACGCCACACCCTCGAACAATTAAGAACAAGAATGATAAGTCATGTTATAGAACGTCACAAGAATAATCTTGATAAATTTTGTAAAGTTCTGAAATGAACCAAAGAAAAGTCTCTCAAAATTTCAAATTCAATAGCTCCCCTCAATTAGGGTTACAAGCCCTTTAAATAGGGAAAAGTAATTCTACTCAGAATAGGAAACTAACACCCTAAGCCCTAACCCTAATAACTACGAATTGGGCCTCAAATAAATAAATGTTCAACCCAAAAGAATACAAAAAACATGAAAATCACTGAAAGTAACCTAAAGTAACATAAAATATTAGTTTGTTACAAATTACAATAGAATTGTAGGATTTTGACGTAAACTGTCTAATTTAGCATATATTACCTCAATTAAGCTTCTCTTGAATTTGAATGATGTTTACCATGCCTTGATAATCATCCAAGCTTCGATTTACTTGTTGCATGTTGTTATCAACCCAGATCTGCTCAATAAGGCCATTTAAAGCTTCTCGCATCTTCCTAGCTCTAACTCTCGTGAATGAACCTCTTGGAATGTGTAATGGATCTCTTGACATGGTACATGTGGGGTCATCTACCTACTGAACCTTGGGTTGATATATCTATGGATTTTGTTCTGGGCTTACCAAGGTCGAAAAGAGGTCGCAATTCTATTTTTGTTGTTGTTGACAGGTTCTCGAAGATGGCACTCTTCATTCCACGTCATAAAATCGATGATGTAACCAATATTGCTAATCTGTTCTTCAAGGAGGTTGTTCGTTTTCATGGTGTTCCAAGGACTATTGTTTATAATTGCGATGTTAAGTTCTTGAGTTACTTTTGGAAGACCTTGTGGGAAAAGTTGGGAACTAAGCTATTTTTTTCGACTACTTGTCATCCAAAAACTGATGGACAAACAGAAGTGGTTAATAGGATATTGTCAACCTTATTGTGTTCTATTATTCAAAAAAACTTGAAGAATTGGGAAGAATGTTTGTCGCATGTTGAATTTGCTTATAATCGAAGCGTCCATTCAACAACTAACTGTCAACCATTTGAAGTTGTGTATATTTTTAATCCACTCACAACTTTGGATTTATTGCCATTACCCATTGATGAACGAGCTAGTTTGGATGGGAAAAAGAAAGCTGAAGTGGTTAAGCAACTACATGAGAAGGTGCGACAAAACATAGAGCGACGAACTGAGCAATATACAAATCAAGCCAACAAAGGGAGCAAGAAAGTTGTGTTTGAACCTGGAGATTGGGTTTAGGTGCATATGCGGAAAAAGCGATTCCCTGCACAAAGGTGTTCTAAGTTGCAACCAAGAGGCAATGGACCATTTCAAGTGATTGCAAGGATAAACGACAATGCATACAAGTCGGAGCTTATTAGTGAGTATAATGTTAGTGCTACTTTGCTACTTTTACTATTTTTGATCTTTCTCCTTTTGATGTAGGTGACGATTTGAGCATAAATCCTTTTGAGGAGAGAGGGAATGATGGGAATCAAGATAACCCCACATGTACCACATCAAGAGATCCATTACACATTCTAGGAGGTCCAATCATGAGAGCTAGATCTAGGAAGATGCGAGAAACTTTAAATGGCCTTACTGAGCAAATCTGGGTTGATAACAACATGCAACAAGTAAATTAAAGCTTGGATGATTATCAAGGCATGGTAAACATCATTCAAATTCAAGAGAAGCTTAATTGAGGTCATTCATGCTAAATTACACAGTTTGCGTCAAAATCTCGCAATTCTATCGTAGTTTATAAACTAATATTTCATGTTACTTTAGGTTACTTTCAGTGATTTTCACATTTTTTGTATTCTTTTGGGCTGAACATTCATTTATTTGAGGCCCAATTCGTGGTTATTAGGACTAGGGTTTAAGGTGTTAGTTTCTTATTCTGATTAGAATTACTTTTCCCTATTTAAAGGGCTTGTAACCCTAATTGGGGGGAGCTATTGAATTTGAAATTTTGAGAGACTTTTCTCGTTGGTTCGTTTTAGAACTTTATAGAACTTATCAACATTATTCTTGTGGCATTCTATAACTTGATTTACCATTCTTGTTCTTAATCGTTTAAGGGTATGACGTCAACCAACTTTATACCTCTAGTTCTTGTTGCGTCATAAACAAAGGGTCATGGTTTGTACCTTTGGTTTTTGTTGCGATATAAACAATGGGTCAAGGTCCTATTATAATCCTAATTTAGCTTTCCTGGAGTCTAGAAATCCCTTGTCACGTTGTGGGTCTCATTGTTCTCTTTGGGGTTTTCATCACCTGGTTGAGATTTATGTAATCAATGCACATTCGCCACTTGGCATTTGCTTTCTTAACTAAGACTGGATTGGCTATCCACTTACAATAATCAACCCTTCTAATGAAACCAGCTTGCAGGAGTTTCTCCACTTCTTCCTTTATGACCTTAAGCCTTTCCCCCCCAAAAAGGTGCTGCTTCTGGGCTACTGGTTTCTTCAATGGATTGGTGCTGAGCTTGTGTTGAGATACTGAGGTTGGAATCCCTAGCATATCTGCTGAGATCTAAGCAAAAACGTCTTTATTAGCTCAAAGAAAAGCTATTAGTTTTGCTCTTTCCTCTGGGTTCAACCGAGTTCCGATCTATGTCTTTCTGTTCGGATCTCTGTCATCAATCTATACTTCTTCGACTTCTTCAACTGGAGTAGCTGGGGTTTCATCTTCAGATCTGTTATCAAGTACCTCGACCCCCATGACTTGCTGGTTATCATGAACTTCCTTTGAAATGGTTTTTGATGTCTAATCTTTTCTTTTCTAAGGTCTTGTAACTGAGGTAATATAGCAATGTCTAGCCAACTCCTGGTTGCGTCGTAATGTTGCTACCCCCATAGGAGCTAGGAACTTCATACAGAGATGAGATTGAGAGACCACAGCTCGGATCTTAGTTAATGTAGGTTGTCTAATAACATCATTAAAGGATGAGGCCATTTTGACAACTAGAAACCAAATTGAGGGGGTAACATAAGTTCAGTCGCTCCCAAAAGCAACATTGAGAGTAAGGACTCTTTCTACCTAAACAGGTTGGTTATTGAATCCATATATAGGACCATCATACTTCTGCAACAGAGTTAGATCTAGTCCTAGGCTCTCAAAACAGTGATAATACATAATGTCTAGTGCACTCCCTATGTCAACAAGGACACATTGTACCTCACAGTTATTAATCATAACAAAGTGACCAAAGGATCATTATGAGGTGTTACAGTTGTATCGAAGTCAACAAGTGTAAAAGTGATGGGTTGATTCTTCCCGTCAGCATCATCAAACTTTCTTTTCTGAGCTCTGTTTTGATGCTTCACCTCCTTGACATATAAATTCCTCTGCTTGGAGCTCAAACTCCTTGCTTCCAATCCGCCTATAATCCTATGAATAATTTTGGCTGGTGGCAGAAATGGAGGTGGTTTGTTGATATCCCACTCCTTGCCTATTTCTTGCATTATGAGATCCCTGTGGCTGTGGCCCTTGTTTTTTGACAAACCTCGGCTGCTCTATTCTCTAGATGTATCATTTAGCATTCTCTTCTGAGCTAGACTTTCCAATTCGAACCTCAGACTACTACATTCCTCGATTGTATGGCCATGATCTTGATGAAAATCACAGTATCTAGTATAGTCACGCGTAGGAGCAGAACTTTTCATCGGCCCTGGTCACCTCAAATCCATCTTACTCTTGATCTACATGATATCTGTGACCTTGACAAATTAAAAGGAGTCCATATAATTGGTGCTTTATTGGTAGTTTGTTGGAGAGGTACCGAGTTTGGTCTTCCAAATGTCAGTGTAGAGGTCGACATCAGACCTCAATTCTGTATTGTCTTCATCCGCTTTCTCTACTAGTCCTCATCTCTCCAAACTAGGTTTTGATTCTTAGCAAGAACTGGCTTCTGTGACAAGGCATATTCCTCAACAGTTATGAATTTCAAAGATCTATCATTAACCTCGTTAAAAGTGGCAACGAGATGTTTAATTAAGCTGTCCCTGAATCTTTCATAAGGATGACAATTTCCTCCACGACCTGCGGAGTTTCGTTGATATCCCCGCCACAGAGATGGAGATTCCAAGAATATTCCTTCCCGTGGGGCGAGGATGGAGGCATTTTTTTCCCCGTGAAATGTCGTGGGGAATTTCCTCTGCCCATGGAGAATCGTGGAGGTCCATATAAAATAAAAAAAAAATTATTTATATATTTTTTTAAATATATTAACAATTAATTTTTACTTACTCAATCTAATTAATTGACCAATCCGTTTTTTTTTTTTTCCAGTTTTTCCAAACCGAATTATATAGTCTAGTCTAACCCATAATCTTCTTAAACTTAATTGCCCAAGCCCAACCTAATTTGCATTATTTTCTTAAACTTAATTGTCCAAGCCCAACCCAATTTGCTAGTAACCCTAGAACTAGAAGGACTATTTCAAATTTCTGAGATTTACGAATCTGCTCTGCGATTCCTCCTCTTTAGACTCCAGCCTCTTCTCCAGATTCCAGTCTCCTCTCTTCTACACTGTAGCTCACTGGCTTTTTTTTTTCTGTTCTTCAATCGGTCAATTCCCTTCAATCTATCATTCTTGGCAACCTTTGAAAAGTAGTGCCCATAGCTTTGTTTCTATTCTTCAATCGGCTACTTGCAGCTTGCTTGAGCCTGAGTTGTGAGCATTTGTGAGTATCTGAGTATCTGTGCTTGATGATTTATTTTGAGGTGAAGCAAATCTCATTCTTTTGGCCTTATTATTTCCGATTTCATTTTCCCTCTGATTGTTAGCAAGATTGTTAGAATGCGATTTTCATTGTTTACATGCTTGCGCAGGTTCTTTCTTGCATTCGCAATGAATGATAATCGTATTGTTATTTTGAGGCTTATTCAAGCTCTTAATTCGTTCTATCTTTAGTTAATTTCTTAAACGAGAAATGAACATTGAGTTGTATTTGGTGGACACTCCGAATACCCGCGGGGACATATCATTCCCTGCGAGTATGGGGACAAAGGCTATTTTTTATCCTCCGCGAAAAATCCTCATGGGGATCCCCGTACATATCATAGACAGGGATGGGGAGAGGGTCACCACCCTTGTGGGGACTCGTTGCCATCCCTAACCTTTCATGGTTAAGACCTTGAATTACAGCTGCAATTCCCACAGTTTGATTGAATGAACTAACCTTCAAAACTGCATCATTGAATCTGCTCATGTAATTCTTCAAAGATTCTCCATCCCTCTACATGACTCGCATTAGCTCAAAAGTGGTTTTCCTAATCAACCTCTTACTGGAAAACTTTGTAGCAAAAGTAGATGCCATCTCTGTATAAGAACTGATAGATCTCGGAGGTAAATTATCATACCAAGTTCGAGCATTGCCTCGAAGGGTAGAAGGAAAGATCTTGCACATCAATGCATCGGAGGCGTTCTAAGCCAGCATACAGGAGTAGAAAGCATGCAGATGGTCATCTGGGTCCTTTGTTCCATCATATGTCTTGAGTTGAGGTATCTTGAAACCAGTAGGATAAGGTTCCAAAGTTATGTTGGTGTTCAAAGGATGAGGTATTGAAGTAGTGTTACGGTGAGGAGGTGCAGCACCTCACTGCTCGGCTACCATTTTTTCTAAACTATCTAGACGTCGTGTGACATCGTCAAGTAGAGGTTGTTGAGCTGGGGCCACATGAGACTAATGCTGAGACTCACTTAAGGCAGAAGCATGTTGATGATCAGTGGAGCGAACTGGTTGGGGTTCTTGCTATTGAACTGGAGGTTGTTGAGCACGGTTGAATAGATTAATGAGGGGATCATCAGGATTATTCCGAGTTAAGAGTTGAGCTAAAACCAACTGGAAAACACCAAACTACTGTTGCATTGCGGCAAGCTAAGCTGAGACTACATCACCTTGGTTCGTGATGGGAGTTGAATTCTGAGCTGAATTGTAAGGTTGATTTTCATCACCTCCTTTTACATGTTCAACAAGAGAGAATAGATTCCGGATATGAGGTGGAAGTTGATTAGGTATTGAGCTTGGCCTTGGGCAGGAGGCTAAGCTTGGCTTCCAGCTTGGACAGACCGAGTGTTAACCATGATGAAAGAGCAACAAAAGAGCTTTTAGTTTGGATTCCCACAGACGATGCCAAAATGTAATTGCACCAAACCAGAAGTCCTTCAATCTGTGTCTTCACTTCAAATAAACCTGCAAAGCCTCGAGGTGGATCCTCGGGGTAAACACTTCGATGCTTAAGTCGGCAATAATCGAATCTACCTTTAGAATAGTGGGAAAAAAAAGTTTTAGGTCGGTTTCAATTACCTTTTTGAGGTGGCTCATGGGGGGTATTTATAGGCCTTAATGAGGTGTCCACATGGCTTGATTAACGAGATAATCGAAGTTTGACATGTCCCTTCAAGCGATGATCTCGGGACCGAGAAATCAAGTGCGGACATGTTCATTGTACTTGTTATGCAGCTGTTTGACAGGGAAGTGCTGGATTTAACCTTCACTTTGATTATTAACGAAACGTAGTAGTACGTCCGAGGTTAAGAATCTTAGACCTATCCTTACAGGTCGCAAGCTGCCTGAGCTTCTCCGTGACCAGGGTATATTTACTGCTTTTTAATTTCTAATCAGAGGCCTCTAAATACTCTAAAGATACTTTCTTTTCTTGCAATAGTGAAGTGATTGAGGATAAACCCCTAATCTGTTTTCCCTAATTTGTATACTAGAAACATCTATTTTACCCCGCTATTGGTGGTATTGCCCATTGATCTTCAGGAAATTTTGGCAATTTAGTGATTTTTGTGTATCATTTGTATATAATTTCCTAGTGTACGTGTACGTGCGTCCCTGACTCTACGGGACGCGCATGATTTTGTGTGAGAGAAGTAATATATTCTTTTCATATAATCCTTTTCAATGAGCATTTCTGCATACTTTTGGTCTCATTAGCATAAGATGACTAATTTGTCAGGTTGACCATGATAATATCACAACTATAAGCACTAAAGATTCCTTTCCTTCCAGAATAAAATGTTCATATGGCAAAACGTTACCCAAATTACTGTTTTGTTGAATGTTGATATTTGATTCCAGATACAGATGATGACAACTATAGACCTTCAAAGCGATTGAGAGTGGACTTCAGGCCTCCAGCTGTGTCAAGGAGCTATGATGATATTGATGGCTTGCAAAGCTCGCCAGGAAGAGCGCATTCATGGGACGATGTGCCTATGACTGATAACATCGATAATTATCTTGACGAGGTTTTGACCTTTCGACCTTTATTTCAACTTTATTTATTTATTTAATTTTCAACACTGAGGCTTCACCATATGCAGTTGTGGAGCACATCACGTATCAATCTCTCACTAATGGATTCATGTTTGCAGGATGAAGATGATCATCAAGGTGATTTTGAGATGTATCGTGCCCAGGGGACATTAAGAGAATGGGTTACTAGAGATGAAGTGCTTTATTTCTAGGAAGTTCAACGACTTCTTACTAACATATGTCAATCCAAAGAATGGACAAGGGAACCCTGAATATGTACGCCTCATAAATGAGATGGTCTCAGGTAGAAAGTCTGTGCATGCTTTTGGCCAGTTAAACATTTTAAAAGCCAATGGCATGATATGGTTTATATTTTCTACATGCCCATGTGAAATATTTTACTCACTGACGCTTATTCAATATGGCATTTGCAGCTAATAAGTGCAGCTTGGAGATTGATTACAAACAATTCATCTCTGTCCATCCTAATATTGCCATATGGTTGGCTGATGCCCCTCAATCTGTCCTTGAAGTCATGGAAAATGTTGCTCGAAGTGTCATCTTTAGTTTGCATCCGAACTACAAAAATATCCACAAAAACATTTATATTCGCATTACTAACCTGCCTGTTTATGATCAGATTTGGAATATTAGGTTAGTTGGAATTATTTTGAAAAAGATAATGCATTTCTTTCCTGAAGGTTTCAAGTTCACCTTTCTATGGTTTCTTTCAGGCAAATCCATTTGAACACCATGATTCGTTTTAGGGGAGTTGTGACCAGGCGTTCTGGGGTTTTCCCCCACTTGCAACAGGTAAAAATATGATAGTAACAAGTGTGAAGCAATTCTGGGACCATTTATCCAAAACACATAATCAGTAGTGAAGGTTGGTTCCTGCCCTGAATGCCAATCAAAAGGTCCATTCACTGTTAATATCGAGCAGGTGATGTTCCAATCTCCTTCCATATCCTTTCTTTTTTTTTTTTTTTTTGGTACATCCATATCCTTTCTTTTATTCACTGCAATGTGAACTCTGTTGGAAAGAGTTACATTTTTTTATTGGCTCATATTTTTCAGCTTCTATAGTTTTTGTGCATTCCAAGCAAACCTAAAAGAAAACCAAGCTACTCTTGTGATGTTCATATCTGTTATTCCTTGCATTGAAGCTTACACTACAAGAAAATCCTGGAATCATACCTGCCGGTTGACTTCCCAGATACAAGAAAGTGATACTGTTGAACGACCTGATTGATTTTGCCCGACCTGGGGAAGAAATTATAGAATCCTATTATTTATTTGCTCCTCATTGCCTGCCTTTGTGTCTACAGTCTTTTTTTTTTTTTTTTGGTTTCTGTTCCACGCCATTGTTTTTCCTAGGAAGTCCCAGGGATATATGCAAAAAAATTTTGACTTCTCTCTGAACACAAAGAATGGTTTTCCTGTATTTGCCGCTGTTATTGAAGCAAACTATGTCACGAAGAGGCATGATCTCTTTTCTGTTTCCGAAAGAAAATCATTTTCCACAATCTTAAGAAAAAATTCAGAAGAGAGAATAAGAATTTTTTATTTTTTATTCATACGAGTTTTAGTCAACAACTCCAGTGAAAAAGGAAAAAAAAGAAAGAAAGAAAGAAAGAAAGAAAGAAAAGCAATTGGTCATGGATTAGTGTGGTTAATCCATACTCAACCCGGAATCCATGGATTTGGATTGGGTTGAATCCATGAAATATTGGTTCTGGTTTGAAACCAGATTTTACTGAAACCAATAGTTTTGGTTTAGATCAAAAACTAATCCAAACCTGTGGATTGAGACCAAGTTGCACCCCTAGGAAAATGGAATGCTTCTCTTGTTAACAACCCAAGTTATAAGGGGCTTTGGAAGCCTCAAGAGGTCCCAAATACCAATTACTTTGAGATTGATAAACCTGATTTTGAACCAGTTGCTGCCATTGGTATTGAGAATTGGATAATGCAGTATCGCATATTGTTTGACAATATTCTCATAGCTACTGATGCAAAGGTTGCGGAGTCCTACAGAGAAAAGACATGGAAGCCAAAGTTCCAAGTTCAGATGCAGAAATGAAGAGCTGAGGAAGATGGTTTTGGTCTTTCAGATGCAGTATCTAAATTACAGGTAATCTCCTTTCCCATAGAGTAGTTTCTATTGTATCTCATCTCACACAAAAAAAAAAAACAGCTGGGTCTAGTACCTGTAGAAGAATGTTTTTGACCCCTTATACAAGATAGAAGACATTCCTTTATTGGAAGCTCACAAAACTAAGATCATTGAGTCATCCGTCCATCTGAATTTCTGAAGCAGTACAGAATTATTTATGATGCTTTCTGGAGAGAAACTCAATTTGTCTTCTTGCAGGATATCATTCGGAGGGCTGAAACAGAACCTCATCTGACAATCAGTCTTCTTGTTGTCTTTGTGGTTCTTCTGCTATCAGTTTTCTTTACAATCACTTTTGCTGGGAAAAAGGCAGAGGTACGTGGTCTTTGAGCCAGTGTTGATTCTTTTGAGAATATATTGTGGAAGTTGTCACCTCAAAGTTTTTGCTTGCATAGTTCACTGGTCAATGTTGCTGAAACTAAAAGGCGTGTTGCTGCAGGGACTTCCAATGATCAAGGAAGCACTTTAGAGAAGGAAGATGAAAATGCTACTTCATCTACTGCTACAGCTCCTCCTAAAAGGTCTACCAAAAAGAAAAATTGAACCGGGCGTGCAGTTGCCTCTGTTCGGTAAGGCGATAGGTGCTTCCAGGCATCCTTATTTTTTATTTACCTTAAATGAGCTTCAGCTTTAGTTGGGTTGTGAGTTTTCAATTTTTAGTTTTCATTTTTATGTTTAGAGACTACTAATTTTTTTTTTTTTTTTGACAAGAAGAAATACAATGTTAAGTTAGTATTTGTTCAAGAAAAGTTGAATCTACTTGCAGACCGAAGTGTGTTCTACCTGCTTCTCACTTTGGAGAAATGTGGCCGCAGTGGGGAATGCATATATAGAGACTACTATTGTGTTTAGAAATCAGAGTTTACTATGCAGCTAGTTTGCTGTTTTCTTGCTTTATTGTATTCTCATTGAGTTCCTCTTCTTTCATCAACTGCCTTTGTGTAGTTTCCATGTAGTCGGATCCAATTATCATGAAGCAATTTGCAGAAACGCAGAAAAATGTCAAAAAAGTAAACTTCACTAGATAAAAAGGGAAACCTTCTTATTCTATCTGAAAGAATTTAGCATTCCTTAGGAAAAGGATGACAAATTATGAAACTAGGCTTATTTAGTCTGCAAATTGTCTACAAAAGCTGAGATTAAGAATCACACTAACTCATGATTAGAATACATGACCAACCTGAGATACCTTCAAGATTAAGCAGTACAATGACATACACACAGATCATCTGTATCCTAGAACATTAACCAATATGACTATCCGGCAATACACCATATCTCCAGAATTGAGAAATTTGATATATCAGGTATCATCTTACCTAATTCCTCAGAAAATGAGAGCTAAGGGCCCAAGGCACATAACCACCATCTTTGCTGCTTCTTGTTCTACACAGGCAATTATAAACCCTGCTAATCAGCAAAGCAAAGTTACCAAGGTGCAAGTCCTTTAAGTCAGGTTTCATGGCTAATTCACAGAAATCCATGGCAACTTCAGAAAATACTTGGCAAGCAAGATATGTTACCAGATTAAATCATAATTGCTTACTGCTAACAACCATTTCTTTCTGCCCTTACAAAAAGTTACATGAGTGGAAACTCTATGTAGCTATAGAAACCCTAATGAATAATGCATCCAAAACATTCGAAAAATTATATCACCAAAAATCCCTACATGAACAGAGTCCATCCTTGAAGTGATGGAAACAATTTGGGTCTTTAATAATGATTTCTCTTTCAACCATCTTGGATAGAACCTTTGCAGTATCATGGCAACTTTGACACACACGGAGGTTCTTAGTTATACGAATGGTTGTCCACACTTGTGTACTAATGAGACCAAAAGAAATGGCTAACATTTCACTATGTCCAGTCGGTAAACACTCACGCTCTTCATCAACATCATGGAGCCCAAAGACTGAACTACAATTGTGTCTTTCATCTTCCATTTTCTTCATTAGACATTGCAACTCCCAATATATTCTCTCAGACCTGGGGTGGGAAACATCACCTGTACTAAACACATGAACTTTATTTTGGAACTCTATCCAACTGTAAGCTCTTTTTGGTTTCAAACCCATGTCTCTAACCATCTGCCGTACTTTATCAACCATGTCCCATTTCGCAATTTCAGCATACCAATTTGACAGTAGCACATAGTTGTCTGCATTAAGAGGTTCTAACTCACAAAGCTGCTCTATAACTTGTTTACCAATCTTCAGTTGCTGGTGCATCCTGCAACCATCTAGTAGTGCTCTCAGTACCTCCACATGCTTTTCAATCTGGTATTCCTCAATAAAAGAGCGTGCCTCATTGAAGAGTCCAGCTCGAGCAAGAAGAGAAACCATCAGCGCACAGTGTGTAACGTTAGGTTCTTTGATGCAGTTGAAGAAAAACCTTCCTTTGTCTACCATACGTGCAATGCTACATGCATGGAGAACAGCAGCATATGTCAATTCATCTATTTCTATACTCGAATCTTTCTTTATTTTGCAGAAAATATCTACTCCCAGCTCTCCTTGTCCATGCAAGCTGTATCCCAATATCATTATAGTCCATGAAATGATGTCTTGCTCCCTCATCCCAGCAAAAACATTTGAAGCCAATTCAATGAACCCTGATTTGACATACATGTCCATTAGAGCATTTTGCACTTTAACATTCATGGCAATTCCATTCCTAAGCAAGTAGGCATGTATCTCCTTCCCTTGCTTATGAGCTTGTACTCTTCCACAGGCAGGAAGAATACTAGAAATTGTGAGCGAATCAGGTTGCACGCCACTACTAATCATTCGCCGAAGCAATTTAAGACTCTCATTAAATCCACCAGTTTTTCTGTATGCACGAATCATCTCTGTCCAAGAAATAATATCTTTTGATGGCATTGCATTGAAAACAGCCTGAGCCTCTTCAAGATTGTCACACTCAACATACATTTTTAGGAGTGAGTTGCTTACCAATACATGACATTCCAATCCACATTTCCTTGCAATCTGATGAACTTTTCGTGCTTGCTGCAGTGATTTTAACAAGGAACAGGCATTGATAGCGGTTGCCAATACTACTGGATCAATGTCAACTCCCAACTCCACAATTTGGTTAAAAATGTCAATAGCCAAATCGGGTTTATTGTCTATCAAGTACAACTTCGCTATCATTGTCCAAGCAATGGAATTTCTGGCAGGGGAACTTTCAAATAGCCATCTTGCAGTGTCAACACTATCAAGACGACCGTACATTTCTATTAAAGAAGTAATAACATAAAGGTCTGATGAGAAGCCAAGCTTGAAAGTGTGGGCATGAACCTGCTTGCCAAAGGGAAAGTTAGCAGAGAGACGAGAGGCTGTTAAAACGCGTGGAAGAGTGTGCTTATCAGGCCGAACGCCATGGAGCAGCATCTGATGATAAATGGAGAGGACAGCGAGAGGGTCATTGCTGGTGAGATGAGTTTGGATAAGATTGTTCCAGGCAAAAGTATCTGATATGGGAATTTCGTCGAGCACTTGGTGGGTCCATGCCAAACTCTCGTATCTTTTAGCCAAACTAAAGCAGCTTTGAAGATGATGGGGTTGCCTGTAATGGGGTTTTCTGAAGGGTATTTGTTTATCGAATTTGGAAAGCAATTGCGCCTGCAAATGCTTCGAAGAAACCACGTCCATTGGATTCTCCTGCCTTGTTCTGTTACTGGAGCTCGAATTCAACTGAAGCCATCGATAGCGATTGAGATGTCATTGTTTTTCAGGAGGAAGAAGACGAGCCTTCGGTCTCCTTGATGTTATCGAAGTTGGTATGTGGATCTCGACATTTTTACTCTCTTCGATTCCCACGAGACTTGGAGGACGATGCTCGCCGTCTGCCGCAATGCTTTAACGATAAAGGTTAATCACACCAGAGATCCTTGAACCTTTTCAAAATGGTAGTTTTTGCCCTTAACTTTTTTCTTTATCCTTTTTGGTCCGTCCTTGATGCCAAGCCTATTGGTACGTTTCATGAAAACATGAGAAGCATGACCTGAATAGCTAACATGGAAAACGTTAATTCTTTTATTTTTCTCTGTAGAGTAATATTTATAAGTATAATTGAAGTACATAACTATCAATCAACAAATGAAAATCATACACTTAATCATTATTGCAAATTATAAATTATAAGAAACTACCAACAGAAACTAGAAGCATGATCTAATATTCTAGAGAAGACTAGCACCAGAAAGATAATAAAACCACAGCAGCAAGCCAACTGTTAGATGCGCTACTAGAGAAGATTGGACATGCACCCATCAAATCCTATCACTTCATTTGACACTCCAACGCATAAGAAAATACATAGGGATGAGTATTTGGGGTAGGGTTTTTAGGAAAAAGATGGAAATAATAAATGTACCTTAAAGATGGTAGGGGGTATTTACAGCCCTCAAATGAGGCATTTCATAACGCAAGTTCCCTTTGAATGGTTTTGCATCGTTGTAATATATATTGTAGTTGCTCGGAGGTTCATGAAGGAGCATTAACTTTGGTGTTAGTGCATTTAACATGTTGTCAAAGATCATATCATCTGGTAATGATGATCCGGGATCAAGGTTCTAAGCTAGAATCTACAAAGCGGAAATGGTACAGATACTGAATGCATTATCATGACCTACCTTTAGCATTGATTTAAACTAATATTTGCTCTTTTGAGAGATGGATTTTCAACTAAAATTAATGATAGATGGAAGAAGTGACTAAGAAAGAATAATATATAAGGAAAAATAAGGGAATTGAAGCTATGCCTTTTACATTTTAACATAAAACATTCCAATATAAAGAAGGGTAGAGAGAAAAATGAGATTAAAAAAAGATATATAATGATAAATTGAGATCTAAAGAATGACTAAGATAAAGCAATAGAGAGGGAATGATGAAAGGAAAAAGAGTAATAAAAAATAAACTTATTATCTATAAAGGTAAACAAAAGGCAAATGTAGGATCGAGATAAATAAAATGTTAAAATGTTGGTGAGAAGTCGAGAGATGGGAGTTGCCAGAAAAATTAAAAAAGAGGGAAGTGGAGAAATGATAAGTGAAAGAGAACCAGTAATAGTGCTTAAAAGTTGTGCAACTATGTTTTTGTATAAAATGTTTCTAATAAAAATAATGAGAGAGAGAGGGGAAAATAGGGTAGAAAAGAAATTAAAATTATAAATGAAGATGCAACGAGTGATTAAGAAAGAGAAGGGAAATGAAAAAATAATAATAAATAAATTATTAACAGAGAGAGGTGAATGAATTATAATGAGAAATATAATGATAGAATGTGAGAGACGAAACTAAGAGCATGTTTGGCTCAGCTTTCGAGTACTTCAATTTTATTTTACATTATTCATATTTGATAAAAGCATGAAAATGTATATCTAAAGTGTGCTTAACCATTGACATTTGTGGAATTATGGGTTTAAGAGTGTTATTTTTCTATAGGTAATTTCATAAGTGTTCATTTTATTCATGTTGTGCAAATTTTATGGTGATTGAAGGTTGATGTTAAATGGAGAAGAATTAGAAAAAGGACTTAAATGCAAGGAGCAAATTACAAAGATAAAAAATATGATGATCAACTTGCGCGGAATCCAGGAGTCAGGGACCAAGACTGTTATTCTGCCATTAACCAAAATTGCACAAAAGGCCAAAAACCCGACACGGAGGATGCAGTTGACGCTCCACTCAAAGTGCCGGCACCTTGTAAAGAGTGTCGATCCCTTGTGCGGTAATTCAGCCCAGCCCCACATCCATTCTAATTAGGGTTTCTAGGATTCTATAAATATCCATCCAAGTTATTTTAGAGGGGGTTCCAGGGCTGGAGAGGCTGCTACCAGACTTCTATTTTCTTCTTCAAGGCTAGAGAATTATGTCAAAGGGCAATTAAACTTTCAACAAGATTAAGGAGGATCTTGATTGAAGAGTTTGACTTGTTATTTTATTTTGATTCCTTCATAGATTTTATTGTTTAATTTTATTTTTGAGAGATTTTTAATTATTTTCAGATCTGAAAACCCTGAAAATTATATTTATCAAATTTCATATAAGATTAGTCATGCTCTTTTTATGTGTGATTTGTTAGAATATAATTGATTGGTACATTTGTTTTGCGGGTTGATCCTTTACTGCAGTATTGTCGATTAGATATATTGTTGCTCTCGGATAGCTCGTAAGGATAGATCAGTTTGTTCTCATTGAAATTAATTTTTCTCAGAATAAATACATTAGTCATTATTATTGGTTTTCAAAGTTGAATCTTCCGATTGTTTGTTTGGGATGTGAAACATGCAATTGAGTAATAAATAGGAATCAAAATTTATAACAGTTAAATAAATCAATTAAGCGAATCATGAAGTCTTGTTCATCATAATATTGTTTTTAATCTTTTACAATTATCATCTTTTATTTAAATATTTTTATTCTTAATTTTAGAATTTATCTTTTAATTTAATTTCTCATTGTGACACTCTTTTTGTTGATTTAATATAGCTTTCCTGTGGATTCGACACCTAAAGCTATGCTACAACAACCGCTTAGCCAAAAGGTATTAATTTTGAGGCGAGACATCAATATTTCATAAGTTTAAATTTCTCTTTTAAAAACTTACATTTTTAAACCTTTTTTAAACCTTAAAAAGATCTTAAATAGTAAATTTTGAAAAGTTTCAAATTTTCGCTTTTTGGAAACTTCCTTTTTATTTACTTTTTACTCTTTCTAAAAGTAAATTTTAAATTTTTTCTCTAATAAAAATTTAAACTTATTAAACATAAATAATGTTAAAAAAGTTGAAGCACCTACAAGCTTCATCAAACATGTTTTAAAAGATAAGGCTTAAGGAAAAATAATGATAGGAGTGAATTAAAAGTGATTAAAAAGGTATTAAAAGAATAATATTAAAAAATTGTATCGTTTATATTCTAACATAACACTTTTTTAATAAAAACATGTTGTAATAGAAAAATAGCATAAAAATAAGATATATAATAATAACTTAAGATATAAAAATGTCTAAGAAAGAATAATAGAGACATAAGTATGATAAAAAAAAAGAGAATCATTTGTAAGGTAGAGAAATAAATATAATAATACAAAACATGATGGAGAAGTTGAAAAATAAACTATCAACAAAAGTTAATGAGGGGTGGACTAAAGGAAAGTGAAAAATTAAATATAAAGAGAATAATACTAATAAGTTACGCATTTTATATTTGACTTGAAAATATTTTTAATACATATAAAGAGAGAGGAAAATAAATTGGATTTAAAAAGATATATATGTAACGAATGATTAAGAAAGAAAAGTAGAGAAGGGAGGATAAGGGAAAAAGAATAATAAAAAATAAATTACTAATATAGAGATGGATTTACAAAGAAACATATATACAAAGATAATATGAAAGAATAAAAATAAAATAGATACAACAAAAGTAATGAAAGTATAAAATAATGTGAAAAAAATATTAGTCTAAGAAAGAAGAATGAGGAGAGATACATGGATTAAGTTAAGTTTAAATTAAAATGCATAACAATAATATAAGTGTAGCATGATTTTGAAACAAACAAGAGAATTGCATGTGCCTTAAAGAAAGATTAGAAGAGATGTATAGTTTGAACGTAAGAAACTGAAAAAAAATACAATATGTGAATATATAGGGATAGGAGGTGAGAAGGAAATGATAAGGAGGAGGAAAAATAATATCAAAAAATTTATTAATACAGAGAAAAAGAATAGATAAAGATTATTAATTAATTTTTATAATTTATTAATACAATAAAAAATTATAAAAATTTGTTTTTATTCTTAAAATTAAATTAATTAGATTTGCATGCCTAAATCTTCCCCTTTTTTTTATTTATACCATTCACACTTTTCTTAGGAATAAATACAGTTAAGATTATTAATGATTGAAAAAACACTATAAAATATATTTATAGTTAATTATTATCATAAAAATTTATAATTAATAAAAAATTCAAAAAG